CTTGGACTACTTAGACCATTGCCGATCCCTAGTGAACCAGGTGAGTCGATTTCAATGGATTTTATGACTCTCACCAAAAGTCGCAATGGAAATAGTCAAGTTATGGTTATTGTAGATCGTTTCTCTAAGTATGCTATGTTTATTCCCTTACCTGCTGAAGCTAAAACTGAACTTGTGATTCAGAAGTTTCAGATGCGATGGGTAACCGAGTATGGATTTCCCTTGACTATCGTATCTGACAAAGATTCTCGATTCACAAGTATGCCATGGCAAAAGCTGATGGAAGCATACGGTACGCGATTGACCATGACGTCAGGGCGACACCCTGAAACGAATGGACAAAGCGAACAGATGAACCGTTTGTGCCAACAGCTCTTGCGAATGTATGTAAGACTCGATCAAGTTGATTGGGATGAGAACTTACCCAAGATTGCCAGTGCATATAACAGTAGTGTACATACCGCTACCGGACAAAGTCCTAATGCACTGCACAAGGGTTGGAAACCCAGACGTCCCATTGATGAACTAACCCGGGACCAATTTCTGAGGTTACCACCAGGGACAAGAGAGTATGCAGTTTTGTTTCAAGAAAATATCAAGAAGGTGAAAGAAAATCTAAAGAGAGCCCAAGAACAAATGATTATTCAGGCCAATAAGCATCGACGGCCTGCTACCTTTAAAGTAGGAGATTTTGTTTGGGTTAAGTCAAAGGAATTTTCACTCGAAGAAAACGTATCTCAAAAACTGCTACCCGTCTACTTTGGACCCTGGGAAGTTCTCAAAGTAATAGGAGATGAAGAGGGACCTTCTTATCGAATTGACATCCCTTCTTATCTCAGAACTTATTCTGTTTTTCATGCGTCTAAACTGTTGCCCTATGGGAGATGATTTTCAAAACAGACCATCTATGAATCCCCCATCCATGGACGGACAATATGAGATTGATAGGATCATAGAACATGGTTTTTTCTCTACAGGAGCACGGGGCAGACCACAAAAGCAGTTCAAAGTACGTTTCAAATTCCAACAACCATCAGAGGATCGATGGTTTAGTTAAAAAGAACTGCTTGAAACCGCACCAGATATTGTCGCTGCCTATGAACGAGGGTTAAGATTATAATTATTTCTGCGGTGGAACTCGAAAGCGGGACGGCAGGAATGTAATAACCCTGTTCAGCAGTCGACCTGGGGCCCAACCCTTAGCCCCAGGCCACGCAGTCTGTGGAAGACTGCGCCGGGCTGTGTAACCAACACATGCCCCGGCCTGAGTAAACTGCGTACGGCTGTGGGACCGAGCGCCAAGACTTAGGAAAATCAAAGGTCAAAATCAACTGTCAGTCAAAGTACCATGCCAGGTCTTGGATCAGATTCATTCACTTGTTGAGTGCAGGTACCCAGACTACGACCCAGGCCAAAGAAGATACAGTTGCAGATCTATCCAGACCCTCCAGGCAGGGAGATCTGGACGGCTGAGGTTGGATATTACCGGGGATCAGACCCCGAGTCAACAATATAAGAGCATTGGCTCCTTGACTTTGGGAAGGCTGGCTGTCTTGCGTTGACGCTGTTTTCAGCGCCTGACTCTCGCAGCCTTGGTTTGACGCTGCGAGACTGGAGGAAGGCCGGCATTTGCTGACATGGTGAGTTACCGCTGGCTGGCTTGCTATCTGGCTGGCGACTGTCTCTGATCTGCTGACGTGGCAGTCGCCACGTATTGCTGCTGACGTGGCGTTGCCACGTGTCGTACTGTCGGATCCTTACGACCGGCTATTGATCATCGGTTTCGTTACTTCAAGAAGGGGTCGTGACTATTCGGGATGAGATCAGGACTTGTGAGGTGTTGTGAATACGTACCTGATGTCTTCATGACGACGAGGCTCCAGCGCTAATTAATGTTTTGATCGGTGCCACGTGGCACCCGGAGGCTGAGTCTCTAATTTGTATTCAGATCATTGCTGATGTGGGGTTGCTGTCGTAGGAGGAGCCCGGAGAAGGAGTGGGCCTTATCCCTCTCCCTTGTCTAATCTCCCCACCTCTCTTCGTCCGTGTATGATTATCTCACCCCACTTTCTTACTGGATACTATTGTCGTTGAAGATCTATCATTGGTTCGATAATCTTGGCTTTCAGTGTCGACATTGTATCCACGACTTGGGTTCATTGCAGGTACACCATTGAACTGTTGAAATACAGACCCGTGTKCGAACCCAGATGATGGAACTTGATGAATAAAAGCCAAATATTCTGAATTGCCTGGGGCCGGTTAACTCAATGATGATATCTCAAGACCGTCGCCCTTTTTTTTTTTTTTTTTAAAAAAAACAGCTCCCTCTGTAACTAGAATCAACCAGCCAAATACACGTCACACACAAAAAAACCTCATCTAGAGGAACTCAGTCCAGATCAATCCAAAATGAAAGCCGGCACAGGTGCAACCACCCAAGCTCTTTCAAGATATCGCGAGAAGCTCAGAAAAGATGTCAAATCACATGGGGGGCAGTGAATCAGTGATATTCTGAACTCCCTGCAGAGGTCTGCATAAACGATTTCGGTCTCTTCGTTTTTGGCTACAACCTGCCTTCCTTTTTTACCTCCCCCCTCGGACCCTCCCCCTTTCTTTCCAAAAGCGGACAAAATGGCCGTGTGTGGCCTCTGCAACTTTTCCCTCTTTCTGGAAGAGGACAATTTCTGCCCTTCTGTTGTCGGCGACAAACCGTCCTTTCTTCTCTTTACCCCCCTCTTCTCGGAAGAGGTCAAAAACGGCTGCACGCGGCCGCACTGCATCCTCTCCCTCGTTCTGCAATTGGATAAGATCCGTTGCACGTGGTCTGTGTAACACATGCACACACAAATGCATTTATCTTTGAGTGTTATCTTTGAGGGTTTTTTGATTGCCGGAGATGGGGTTTGAACTTATTAGGGATGCAGTTTGAAAGATGGACAAAAACTGAGTGGTTAACCAGTTTGGCAGTTTTGGTCCCTGTCAGGGGTGTATCAGTGGCTCCTCCTCATCCCTTGCATCCCAACGCAGTGCCTTTTTTGTGTGTGCAGTGTGCACGCAGCTACAGCACTGACCCACCTGTTGTCTCTCCCTTTCTTTGTTGCACCTTGAACGTATATCTTGTCTTGTCCCGGGTTTGTCTGGCACTGCGCAAACATGATCGGTTATTTTATCTGTGTGCCAAACTTTGTGCGAGCATTTGCACTGTTGCCGGCCATAGTCAAGTCTTCTGTTTGCTTACTGCCCCTTACTTGACCTTTTATATGGTGCCGTGCTGTACATTCTGTGATTCCCCGTATTGTGTGTAGTCTCTGGGGATCCTGTGTGTTTTTCACGTGTTCCTAACCTTGCTTGCTACGAGGACGTTAACATTCTTTCTTACCTGTTATGTTTGGATATCCGTTAGCCTTTCGCATTGTGTGATGCATAGTGATGCAGGATCTGGTTTGAATGTGCCTTGCCATGACTGAGTTGGGAAAGTGTGCACATGTCTCCCTCTCTCTCTCTCACCATGTGTCTGTTGTGGGGTTTGTGGGTCTTAACGTGTGTTGTGGGGTTTGTGGGATTTGTGTATGTGCATTCATTTGTCTGAAGAGTAGGTACTTGGCTGGAGGAGTCATTCCAGGATTGGGCCCTGTGAAGGCTGAGGCAATGGTGTCCGCTTGGGGTGACAAGACACTGGATGTTCTGGATAGCGAAGATGCGATCACACAGTTATGCAAGGTTAACAATCTATCCATGTCTTCTCGAACCTCCTTTTCCAAGATTGAAGGCGAGCGCTGATGTCACGAAGTTGTTGCTGCATATCATATGTGCACTACTTTCTTCCCCCAAATACAATGCATGGTCAGTATAGGTGTATATTCGGGGTATCTTTCAGTCTAAGCACAGCTAGAATGACCGTACGTTGTATCCGGGGAAAGAAGGTAGTGTTCTATGCATGTGTGCTCCATTCAACCATAAACATGGTATACGGCGAGGTCGTTTTTTTTTATAAAGAAAATGAAAATTGATAGCCGTCGCTATGATGCATACATCATGACAGTCTGGTGCCTACGTACGGTCATTATTGCAGTATCTAGACTGAAAGTTGCCCCAAATGCAGGCCTAATGACCGTACGTTCTATGCGGGAGCGGATGTCCGCTGCTATGATCCACATGTCATGACAGTCTGGTGTGCCGCTACTGGACATGTCTGAGTAATACTAGACATCTGGACCCCGGGATCCAGACGGTTGAAGGAGCATCTGGATGTCTGGGTCTGATCGGTCCAAGTGGGGTACATGGCCGGGTTTTATGTATTTTCTTCTTGGTTTATTCCTGCGGGGTTCCCCCTCAGATTTGGTTGGGAATGCAAGTCCGGAGGTTACCAATATGTGGAAGAGATGTGAAGTGACATAGCGGGAGACTCAGTCAAATAAGAACGATTGACAGTGCAGCAACATTACAACATTGTGCTGATCTTATCTCACATCAAGCTGGGAGGGGTTCAAACATTGAAGAGGCCTCCCTGCTCAAGCACATACACACATTAAATGATAAGAGAGGAGATGGAAGAAGAAGAAGAAGAAGAAGAAGAAGAAGAAGAAGAAGAATGGCCAAGTATGGCAACACCAAATAATAATAATCTACCCTCCGAAGATTCCTCTGTCCAACCTCCAACGCCCTCCAAGTGCTGAATCTCAGATCGTGAATCAGGGGGGAAATCTCCCGTCGCACCAATGTCAAGTCTCCAATCTCTCATGCTCTCTCAAGATGAAGAAGGCCAGATGGAGGATACGAAGGAGAAATCTGGATAACTCCTCTCTCTCTCTCTCTCTCTCTCTCACATAAGCTATACTGACTGGTGAAAGAAGCCTTGAGCCGTTGACGTGCTACAGATGTCTCAAAGAAGAAGGTCAGCTATGACTGGCGGCAGCTCTCTAGCATATGGCACCAGGTGGGTGAACTCCTCCAAGCTCACCTCACCTGTCAACGTCCTGCAGGCACACGGAAAAAGGCAGCCAGCTATGGCTGACAGCAGACCCCAGAGCAGCTGAGTGGACTCCTCCAACCTCACCTCATCCGGTATGTGGCAGCGCATGGTGGACACGCGCGGAGATGGTGAGAGAGAGGAGAGAGAGGGAGAGGAGATGGACACACACATGAAGCAACAGCTGAGTGGAGGTCCAGTCCGGCTCAATGAACGAACGAACCACTGAATGAATGAACCTGCCGCCCTGGACCTAGGCCGAAGTGATATACCGGCCTGGGTCCAGTAGCGGAATAACCTGGTACCGGACCAGGGTCAGGCCGGCGGCCTGAAACTGGTCCGGCCTCCCTGCCGGGCCGGAGGGATACCGCTCCACGGTACCTCTGGCTCTGTAGTGCTGCTCTACTCTAGCGCTAGCTGCTCCGACCTCTGCCAGCACTGGGCTGCCAGTCGCACAGCCTGGTGCCATGTGAGTGAAGTGAACTCTACCTTACTGAATGCTGCACTCTTCGGCCTCTCACCAACTTGGCCTCCTCTCTGGGCTGTCCGATCTGCTCAAGGATCCAGCGGCTCAGATGAAAGGTTGCATGGAAATCCCAGGCCCAGGCCCCAAAACGTGTGGCCTGGGACTCAGGCTCGGGTCCAGTCTCAACCATGCCGAATCAGCAGTAGGGCCTGGCAGAAGAAGACGGCCGGGCACAAAATTGGATTCTGGCCCAGCCTCAAAAAGGAGCTGGGCCAGTATGGCGTGCTCCTGGCTGAGAGTGGACAAAATGTTCCCCGCCTGGCCCCAAAACAGGCAAAAATGCTCACACGCCTGTGTGGACCACAGCCAAGCAGTCTGGACTGAGATCAGAGAAAGCACGTGCACACCTGGTCTCAGAACAGACAAAATGGTCACACGACTGGTTGGCGTCAATAGCAAAGCAAACAATGCTAAGAATAGAAAGAATTCATACATGCCTGGACTCAGAACAGAGAAGTTGCTCACACAACCGCTGGTGTCAACAGCAAGGCGAAACTGTACTGTAAATAGAAAGGGTGCATACACACCTGGACTCAGGAAAGACACAATGATCACATTCCAACCCAATACCTACAATACAAGGCCCTCAAATTAGTTGGAGGGCCTCGGCAAGAAGTCTAGGCGGCCAAGGGCTGCCCCAGCACATGTCCGGAATCATAGCCCAGTGTGGGAGGCCCCAGGCATGCAACGCTAAGCCAAAGGTTTGTTTTGTGATTCCTTTCTTCCCTTCCTCCCCCCTTCCTCCCCCCTTCCTCCCCCCTGTCCATAGTTCTTCAAAATGGGCAAACTTTTGAACACAGTTCAATATATACTTTTACCCATTCCATGTGACTGAGGGGTACGCCCATATGACCGTTGATAAACAGACCTGAGTTCAAATCCTGATGGAATAGAATACTCTGAATGTCTTGGGGACGGCTGGTTCGATGATGACATCTCAGGCCGTCACCCTTTACGAACAAAAACAGAGGAAAGAGAGAAAAATTCAAAACATACTTTGGACCTGCTAATGCCATACCTGTGTGGTGTGTAGTGCACTTAAACCACCAGTATTTCCTAAAGTTGTGCCCGTTAACAAGCCACAATTTTAGGAAATGTACGGGACACTACAGGAACGCCCAAATTCATCCGACTAGGAACGTTTCTAGTACGTTCTATTCTATTTTATTTTTTCTCCGTGGGCCAAGTACTCTAGCTCCGGTAACGCCCGACCTCTGGAGAATGCGGTATAGGTTATGTTTTCGATTGAGACTTCGCCTGTGAAAGGTAGTGGTGCTTTAAACACACACACATCGTGATGGCCAAAGAGCCTACCAATACCGAACGGGGGAGGCAAGCCAATGATCTCAGTTGGTTGGCATCAAGGGTTCCCAGGCGGTCGGTCGGGATTGAACCTACAACCTCCTGAATGCCACTTGCATAAACCTAACCCGACTGAGCTAGGCGGCTTGCTTCTAACCCTAAACTTTGGCACAACCCTTGTTGGTTTTCATATTTTGGTTTTAGATTTGTCAGTCACATGTCAATGTATTTTGGTGAAAGCAGGGTCTTCCAGGAGATGACCCGCTTGTGTGGCATGGCATTGATTGAATTCCTCCTGCGAACAAAGAGGGAGATAAAATGGGAGGCTCAAAGCTTGTGTGAACCTATCTTCCCGGCCCACATCTCTGCAATCACCTGCCAGCTGAACACCCCCTTCCCATGGTTAGTGGGTGGAAGACTAATTGTGTTTATGCCGATTGACCAGGTGAAAGGGATTGGCAGGAAGATCGCAGATATGATTAAAAAAGAGTGGGATGCTCGAAGGTTTGAACGGGGCGCAATGACCTTCCTGACAGAACATAGAGTGCCACCTCTCCTCGCACACTACTTGGGTGAGTTCTCTCTGTCAGACTGTATTTGCTTCCAATCACCAAGACTTTTTACCTTAGACGAAATAATTTGCGGGAGAGCGCAACAAGCACATCGTAGCAATCCTTAGAACTCCCCATCTGGTGGCCTTTGGATTGTCTGTCCAAATCGGGGCGATACAGAGAAGATTAGCATGGCCTCTGCGAAAAGATGACAGACACGCATAGAGAAATGGTCCGAAATTCGCTCACCATGGTCCGCGCATTAAAAAAGAGGAACGTCCCATCCGTTAACAGCTGGCTGGCCGTTTTCCAAAGCCGCACTGTAACCAGTTCGGGTTATGTCGGGGTAACAGGGCCAGGCCCCTCTTGTGCTATGTTGATCTGCTAACAAAGCACGAACATGATGGTGTGTTCGTGCTTTCCAAGCGTGAACATAGCACAAATGGGAGCTGACCCTTACACTGAACACATGGACAAGACTATTGCATATAGACGTCGAGATGAGGATGCAGATACTGCACTAGGATTTGTTAGTAAGGAGAGGCTGCTGTAATATACAAACTATGTGTCACTATGATACATCCACTAGCTATAGGCTGTATGCAGGTACTGGTCTGTCTGGATTCGATCTGAACACCTCGACCCAGACAGCCACCATGGCAACCCAGATGTGAGGAAGCACAGTTGTTTCAACTGAGAATTTTCGACAAACCAAAAATCGAAAAGTGCCTGGTGTAAATAGTGGAAATTTGCAAGGCAATCTAATATGGATGAGGGTCACCTTGGAATTGTGTACGAAAACGGAAGAGGAAGATACATATTAAATACTTTTATGCATAGCCATTGCCGCAACCCTGTCATTCAGGAACACCTGCCAGCGGACTGGAGCAATCCCGCCAGTAGGAGCCCTGGTAGGCAGTTTGCTGACCAGCATGTTCATTACAACCTGTGGTTATTTTTGCAATTTCAAAACTGGGGGAAGGGTTTGGGCCCCATTTTGGAGGTCCCCCACACCCAGATATGCTACTTTCAGGTCTCATTTGGTTCTCGCGAGATGTGGGGGTGCGACGAGGAGTACGGATGGGGGTGGTTGGGGGCAGGTCATGTGTTGGTACGAGCTGATGATGAGTGATGCTGATTAATGATGCTGAGTGATGGTGGCGATGTCGATTGAAGAAGACGAAGAAGAAAAGAGGAAGAGGTAGTAGTAGGAGGAGGAATGTCTGAATGAAGGAAGCATATGGTCTAACATACCCTTAGGGCTTTCAAAGACAAGAAACACATACAGCAGATCTATTCACGATGATGATTATGATGAAGAAGTAGGAGGAGGAGGGGGAGTGTATGCATGAATGGAAGCAGATATATTCACGAGGTAGGAATGCTTCCATATACTCTAATCTAAAATACCCTTAGGGCGTTCAAAGAAAAGAAACACATAAAGCAGATCGATTTTTTTTTCACGACGATGATGATGGCAAACCACATCCTAGTAAGAAGCAGTCCCTGTTCTTGAACTTCATTGGCGAAAAGAAGAAGAAGAAGACGAAGAAGACAACAACGATGACAACGGCTACGAAGAAGAAGAAGAGCTGGCAGACCCCTGCCACCCATCAGTAGGCTGGCAGGTCCCTGCCACCCATCAGTAGGCTGGCAGACCCCTGCCACCCATCACTATGCTGTGAGACCCCTGCCACCCATCACTAGGCTGGCAGACCCCTGCCACCCATCACTAGGCTGGCAGTTACCTCTTAAGTTGAATGCTGTAGGCCTTGCAGAGGGCCCCTATTTACCTGCGGGTAGGTGCCTATGGTCCCTACGGTATGCTCGTCCTACGGTATGCATGTCAAAGGCCCACCAACCATTAGCGGTCCAACAATGTCTATAGATTACCAGGCTCTATGGCCCAGACAGTTTGGTGCAGGCAACCGTGGACCGGTCCTTCCGGAAAATCATGAAAATCAGAAGGGCTAGGAAGACATAATCTTAGTCCTGGATCATTTCTGATAATCTTAGTCGGGGATTGCTCCAGAAAATCCATGTTCACTCGTTGAGCAGGGTATGAATGAGTTGGTAACGGGGGTTTAACGGGGTACCAATTTGGTAAAGGGTCTCAAGGTGTATGGAGTATCAGTACTGACCAGGTAGGCCAGGCCACGGCGAAAGGCTCATTAGTAATACTCCCAGAGGGGAAGAGGAAACTGCCGGAACGCTGTGAGTGATTAATCTCACTCCATTTATAGCATCTTGATGTGATGGCAATTTCATTCCCATTGACAACTGCTGTATCCAGATTCCAGTGTACATTTGCGTGGTTCTGCCGTTTAATGTTTGAGTTTCCGGTTGAGGAAACGGATGCCCAAATCACAAGTAGAGAGGTCAGTATCAAGAAGCTACCATAGTGATGTACCTCGCTGCAGCACCCTGATGCCCTTCGCAAATGCTGTACCCAATGCTTTTGCTCTTGAATGCTTGAATTTCTCTTTTGAGCAAAGTAGTGCGCAATTTAGAGCAACAAGCGAATCAAGAAGCCAACCCTGAAGCCCGTCTCAACCCCTCGGTCAGACTGAAGACAACAGGTGATGGCTGATCTTGCAGTGCTGTTACCATTTGGCCTACACTTTTCCCGCTTACAGTGGAGTTTCCTGTTTCTAGTTGCCTAGAGAATAAGGCAACGAAATCACCTTAGGCAAAAAGAATGCGTGCTCTGGCAACGCGCCTCATGTCACCATGAGGATTGGACCATATCGTCACAACTGGTAGTTTCCGTGCATCTGTCGTATGGACTCTCTGAGTATCGATAGAGAGGCTTCGCGCGTGCGTGCCTCTAGCAAGTCTGCTGATTTACTCTTGTCTTGATGCCAGCCTTGGCTGGATTCACTCGAGAGGCCTTTCTGCCGTATTTCTCAGTAGTGTATCGAAGAATTACGAGTGTTCCAGCATTATTTTGAAGTTATGAAGTAATATGAACCTTGTTTTTGTTTTCAATAAAAGATAAAAACGTCTTTCAATTTTCAAAATCTGTTAGGACTCGGGAGTTGTCCTTGACATTGTCTACATCACTGTCTGCAGGGGGCAAAAAGAAGTCTGAGGGAACTCTTCTCAGTGTTCCACGTTGTTGCGTCGTTGTGTGTCTCTTGCTATTGAAGTCACAGTCAGCAAGGTGGTTAAGGTTATTCTTCGTTACTTCTTGAAGTCAGATTATGTAGGCTTCATTCTTGGTGATTTCAACGGATGAAACCTGCTTAGGAAACCAACTGTGCATTCCTTGTCGTGATATGGACCCGGTGTTCCTGGTGCATTGGGTCAGGTGCTTCTGCATTGCACATAAATGTTGATGGCAACTTGATGCGGGGGGGGGGGGGGGGGGGGGGGGGGGGGGGGGGGGGGGGGAGATAATAAAATATTGAATTTTGGAACGTACTCTCGGATATTGATGGGCATTGACTCAGTAGTTCAAATATTGAAGTGGAATGTACTGTCGAAAATCGAATTAGAACGTGCTTCATCTCAAAGACGGTAGTGTAATGTACTCTATGCCGAAGACTGAATCACAGAAGATTCAGGATGTCATCCATGTTTAAACTGAATTGCAATGTATTCTTATGCTCTGGGTTGGATGTGTTGTGCAGTCTTACGACATGGCGCAGGAACTGAGAATGCTGTGCGAGCAGATCCATGGTCGGCGACAGATGGGGTCGAAGGGTGGAATTTCCTGCATGCGGACGAACTTGCCAAAGCAGTCGGTGTAGACCCAAATCTCCGAAGTCGTATGCAAATGGCACTGGACCACGTGTTAAATGTTGCGAGCTACACAGAGGGGCACTCGTACTTGCCGTGGCGCACATTGTTCTCGATGGGAATGGACATTTTGCATGTGGAAGGGTGGTCAGCACACCCTGAGCGTAGCCAGCTGGAGGAGGCCATTGAGGTACTCGTCGAACAGGGAAGAGTTGTTATTGAGAACAGCGGAGTGGTGTCCCGCCCAACGGGGGTTAATCAGCCATCGCGACGTCGGCAAGAGCTTGAAGAGGAGCGAAGGAATGGTTGGGTGTTGGGCGATGCTCGGTGCTTTTTGCGGGTCTTGCACGAGGCAGAAACCAGTGTGGCGGAGGATCTGAGCAGGAGGGTACAGCGGACCACACCCGTCGTTCTCAATGAACGTGTTGCCAGATGGGTGAGTTAATGACTGTGGTGCTTCATGGTTGAATCCGTCGTTGTGCTCGAGGTGTGGAGTTGTTGGCTTTGCTTGTTCGAGTTAATGAATGTCTGCGAACAAATTTTCAGACTCTTGAAATCAGGCAGCAGCCACGAGAAAAAAAGGCAGCAGCCAAGAAGATCAGTTGCTTGCTGTCAACATGTGGCTGATGGTCCTGAAGGGCTTTGCACCGGGATCTGTGGAGAGGAGCTCTTCTCTCACCACTGTTGTGGATTGGATCGACAGAGCTCTGCTCTACATTTCGCGTCGCCTTGGGTGTAAACAAAGCCTGCCCTTGTTTTTCTTTCTTGGTTTTTTCCCTGCTGAGGCTGCTGTACATGAGACTATCACCATCTTCTGGCAAATTCAGGGGAAAGGAGGAAGAAAGACATTTGAAATTCTACCATGTCCTGGGTCCACTGTGTTGGATGAATGTAGTGGAAGAAGAAAGCAACAATTCGTAAAATGGAGAGCTCACCCTTATTGTGTTTGCAAATGTGCGACATTGCAGACTGTAGTCAGAAGTTGCTGGGAAAGCTATCTTGCCAACCAGTCCTCTGCCTCCTGTTCGCCTCCCCTCGTCCTGTCTTCCCAAGTGGAAGAAAAACCGAAAATTTTTGTCCTTTCAGTAGTGTCTGTCCAAAACACAAAAGCTCCTTGGTCGCGGCTCCTCTCCCCTGGACGCCCTGTTTTGTTCATCGTACAGTTCTCTACTGCCATACCATACCCCCTGAACCATTCACTGTCAAACTCGTGCTTGCCTTTGCCCCTCCTTGTACACCTTGTCTTCTGAGGGCGACCCCCTAAAAAAAAAACGATAAGAAGGGAAAAGCTGCAACGTGAGTACAATGGGGTCACTTTCTTTTCTGGGAACAAAAATGATAAAAAGTTAAAAACATGCACGCTTTGGAAATCAGTCATTTTGCAGATGCTTAGGCTGCAACAATCCCCTTTTGTCATTTTTTGTCGTAAGGCTGGCGGGTTATTTGTGACGTACTGTAGGCAGGGCCGGCGGGATAGTTGTAGGACAGGGCAGAAAGTTGGGGTTGGGGGGGAAGGGGATAGTTGTAGGACAGGCTGCACCAATCCCCTTTGGGCGGAGGCCGGCCTTCAGTTTTCTGTTTTGTTACAGCGAGACCAGTCCATCTCATTTTGGGGTGGAGAAAGGGGTAGGGTATGGTGGGGTTAAGGGTGCGCCATATAAACTGCAGGTTCAATATCAATTGGGGCTTTAAACCACTTGTACCTCCGAGCCTGTTTTTTTTGTTGACCCTGAATTTCACTGCTCTCCGAGTTTTGCCGAGCCTGGGTCCCACTCCATTTTCTTTCTGGTACTCTCACGGAAAGAACAAGAAAAAAAAGAAAAAAAAAAAAGTTGCGGCCGTGAAACTCACAACAGAAGAAAACAAAAAAAGGGAGACAAAGCTTTGACCGTGATTGCGGTTTTTTTAACTTTTTTACATTTTTGGAAGTGGTAGTGTGAGTGTGCATCTCAGCCCTGTGGCCAGGTTGTCGGATTCCAAAAACATGAGAGAAGGGAAGCGAAACACGGATTCAGCCCTGAAAATGGCTGGATACATTCCTCTGAGTGCCAGTGTGATGAGCGTTACCATCCTCTGACAAAACACAGCTTGAGCAGATCACGGATTCCGCCCTGCCTCGCTGGCAGGGGACTCATAACAAAGACGCGAGAAAGAAAAATAAGAAAACAACAACATTCAGAATGTGACCGTGTTAGCTGTAAGATGCATTCTGTGGAGCAAGACTGTGAGCACGGCCTCCTAGACTACCCTGCCCGACATTATTGCAGCAGAGAAAGCATTTTCTTTTTTTTCCTTTTCCTTTCATGCGCGGGCAATAGAACACTAAGATTAATGGGACTTGCCAACCTTGTGCAAGGAAGATGAGCATTAGTGAACTTTGGCAATCAAACAGCATCATACATATGAGCACAGATAGTCTTGACCTCGAACCACAGCAGACTGGCATCACGAGATACACCAAATAAGAACACACCAAGAGTTCAAAATTGACAATGCTGAAGTAGTCCCATCATCATCAACTACGAACCAGAGTTGATATCCTATTGG